AAGCCCCCAGATGTCCCTGAGCCGTCCCCACAGCTGCACTCTGCGGGCTCAGCACGCCTGGCACCGCGCCTCCACGCCGGGGCCTTCACCACGTGGCTGCTTCTGCCGACAGCCCACCCAGCGAGCCCTCTTTGCCGGCACTTCATCATCTGCACGTGGCAGTGGCTGCTGTGAACACTGAGGTGGGCTCTTGCCCTCCATCCAGTGCAGGGAGACGGGCAAGAAGCACATACACAGGACAAATACCTGTCGCCACGAAACAGTGTTAGACGGGGGAAGGGGACACAGGGCCTGGAAGGGGCTTCTTTGGAAAAGGCTCGGGGGTGGCCCTTCTGAGAAGGAGACGCTGAAGTGGCCAGGACACCGGTACGTGGAGGAAGAGCAAGGGCGAGAGGGAGCCAGGTCACGGGGAGCAGAGACCACATCACACATCACGGCAAGTGGGCAAAGAGAGAGGAGCTGGCGAGAGCGAGCGGCTGGGAGCACCGGCCTGAAGGCTGGGGGGGGGGGGCAGGGGGGGTCCTGCTTTCAAGTGAAGGCTCCCAGAAGCCTCGAGCTCTCCTTTTAGGACGGCCCCTCCCTCCGCTGGGTGAGGAGAGGATTTCAGAGGGCAAACACCCATGAAAGCTGCCTTTCATCTTTCCAAGTACAAGCCAGACAGCGGGCCCAGGGCACACGCCTTTCCCACTGACTCTCAGACCCCAAGCCCCCGCCAACCACCCTCCTGGCGGCCCAGCAGGCAGTGCGGCTGCTGAAGAAGTCTGCAGACAAGACACCCCAAGCGCAGGGGCTGCCGACCCACCGTCCCGTCTAGGGACCCGGTAGCCCGCGAGCCCCAGGAGTGTCTCTGGAGCCGATGGAGGCAGAGACAGTGGCCGGCCCGGTCAGTGAGCCGCCAGGAAGCATGAGGGGGCTGCGGGGAGGGAGGGGGAGCTGTGCGTCTGGGCGGCTAGAAGGAAGCAGGTTCCTCACAGCCAAGTCGCAGGTTCAATCCCTAAACCCTCCGGTTGCCACAGTGGCTGAGGGCCTGGCCTGCAGACTCACACAAGCAGGCCCCGACCAGCTCTCCACCGCCAGCGCGGGGCTGGGCCGGTCAGTGACGCTCCCCGAGCCCGTCCCACCTGGGCCTGGTGCTGGTGCGGGGAGAGCTCAGCACTGCCGCACACCGGGGCCCTTGTGTTCGTGTGTTTTATGTTAACATTTAGAGGGACTTTAATGACTGGGTCGGGGAGCAGCACGGCACACACCCCACAGAACAAGGAGAGGGCAGCAGAGATGCGGGGCGTCCGCTGGCTCCGTGACTGTCCCCCGGGCACCCCACCAGCCCCTCCACAGTTTCCTGCAGTTTGGGTCACTTTGCTTTCTCAGCTCAAAGGCCACTGGGGTTGGGATGTTGTCAAGCTACAGGTGAAGACAGTGGGTTAGACGAAAAGAAATAAAATCAAAGGATCATTGATCCTCAACTGGGGGGCGGGGGAGACAGGCTCTCAGCTCACACTCGCGTCCCTGCAGGATCCATTCTCTAGCGGAAGCAGGCACCTGGGAGGGCCATGGGGGCCGCGGGAGCCCCAATCCAGCCATCCGTGGCTGCCTCCCGCAACTGCCAGGAGGAGGAGGAACCGACAATAGCAGCCAGTTCCCACCACCTCTCTCCCTCCCTCCCACCCTCCCGCACTCCTCGGAGCCCAGCAGGCAGCTGACATAACTCAGGGCACTGACAGCCCGGGAAGCTAGCTGCCTCTCTAGCCTCCAAGCACCAGGTGTCTGAGGCCGTGCGGGAGCAGCCACTTCTGCCCTCATTAAGAGGCCTTGGGTGGCAGAAGGGATGCGAAGGAACTCTCTGGTGTATTGGGCTCCTGGTGAGGCCGGACAAAAGCTCCCAGAGCTGGACCCCAGGCCCCTGCCACTGCAGGCCCTCATCTGCATCTCATTTGCATTGCATACTTAACAGGAGCCCAGCTCTGTCACCCAATTAGGGGGTGGGGGTACGCTGAGGGAGAGGGGGTGTCTGCACAGCAAGCCCACAGCAGCCTCCGCCCTCCAGGAAAACAAGGCCTCAGTCAGACCACAGCGAGGCAGACAGATGGAGAGCACACTATTCCGGGACGGATGGCCAACTAAATAAAGCCGTGGTTACATCATGCACAGAGACGGACAAGAAAACTCCAAGTGTTTCCAAGAGGCCGCGTTGGAACGATGCGGACCAGCTGCAGGCAAGTCCGGTGCTGAGAGTCCAGCTGCGCCCACAGCACATGGAGGAGCCAGGGCGGGTGGTCGGTTCCCACGGAGGGCCTTTCCCTCTCAGGAGGGTTCCCGTTGGGTTTGACTGACACACACACAGCCCCCTTGGAGGGTCAGCACTGCCCTCGTATATGTGGGCACTGGGATCTCCGTATGAGGGCAGACTGGGTTCAAACCCCGGCTCTGGCCCTTCTTGCTGTGTGACCGAGGGCAAGTCACTGCACCTTTCTGAGCTTCAGTTTCCCTCCTGTGTCGAACGGGGGCAAGAGCCACACGGACCTCAGGGGATTAAACGATGGTGCATGTGAAGTGCCTGGCACAATGCCTGGTACCTCTTACAAAATACAAAGCCGTGCGAGGCTGCCTCTAGTTGAGGAAACAAGAAGTGAAGTTGGGCGTTTATAACTTAAAGGAGCTGTCAGAGCTCCCGGAGCCATGAGAATGGGTTCCCACGCACGAAGGCTGCCATGGCAACCCAGTGCTGTCGCTCCGATCCCTTAGCGAGAATTACAAAGCCCTCGGCAGCTGCCTCCGTGCCACCTCGGCCCTCCCACCACAACACCCAGGCCTCCTGCCACTTCCTCAGGCAGGCTGCGCATGCTCCTGCCACAGGGCCTTTGCACGGCTGCTCCTCGGCCTGGAATGCTCTGCCGCCAGGAGCTGCATGCGCCCTCCTCCCGCTCCTTCAGAGTCTCTGCTCCGATGTCCCCGCCTCAGTGCCTTCTTCCCGGCCACACATCTGACTCTGCAAGTCCTGTCCCCGCCCAGCCCTCCTCCTGCTATACTTTCCCCTCAGCACCCGCCATCCCATCCGCTGGGTGTTCTTATTCACCGACTTCACGGTCTGTCTCAGGACAGGGGCCTGCAACCTGCAGCCCGCGGGCCAAATCCGCTGCCCTGTTTCTGCAAATACTAGAAAAGTTTCCTGAGAACACAGTCACACCCGTTCACTGACACTGTCGCCTCTCCTGAGGCAATGCCAGGGACCCCAGGGTGCAAAGTCCGCCTGGGCCTCAGCAGGAAAGCCTTCAGCCTGAGCTGGAATAAACCCGTCTAGTCCTCCACTGATGCCATCTGCCTTTGTCTAGAGCGGCACTGGGCACAGGGCGGGTCTTGGCGTGCTCGTCAATGGTCGGCGACACGAGCTGAGAGCCAGGACCCGTTTCCTGGAAGGAACGAGAACAGGACCACCAGGACCGAGGCCGCAGAGGGAGGCTGAGGGGCGCAGGTCTAGAATGAGGGAGGCGCCCACCCTCCTCCTCTGCCCCCGAAGGCCCTCTTCCGCCTGGCACCGTGCCCATCGGGGGCTGCTCGGGCGGCGGAGGGTTCTCGGCGGGCCTGTGTGGCTGTGCCCTGTGAGGTGGGCCGCCTGGGCAGTGGGATCGGGCCGGAAGCCGCGCTGAGGGCGTGGGCAGCTTCCCGGAGCGGAAAGGCTGGGCCCCAGCCCTGTCTGCGGGCGAGTAAGAGCTGCCGCTGCTGGGCGCCATCTAGGAGGAGCTTCACAGAGCTCATGAGCTCGGCGGGTCGGGGTTACCGGATTCCCTGCCGAGTCCACCTGCCTGCCCGGACCACTGCCCTTCCTGACCTTCTGACCTGACCTTTCAGCGCTCCTGGGCCCTGCTTCTCCCGCCTGTGAGTCCCCACGTCTCCAGGGGAGCACCTTCTATTGGTCAGTGAGCAGCTCCCAGGAGACTGCAGTGACCTTTCCCCATCGCCCCCCCCCAGCTGAGTGCCCTCCTCCCTCCAGATTCCTCAGCTCCGCTGCCCCCGCGCCCACCGCACTCAAGGAGACGGGGGGGCATGGTTAGGGGCAGGGCCCTGGAGTCAGAGAGCCCAGGGTTGGAATCCCAGGTCTGGTCCGCCACCTCACAGCGGTGCGACTTTAACGAGCCGTTCAGCGCCCACACCACTGCCCGCCCCCATGTCCAGCGCCCACCGCCCACCGCCCCCGCGTCCAGCGCCCACCACCGCCCTATGTTCCAGCGCCCCCATGTCCAGCGCCCACCGCCCCCACGTCCAGCACCCCACCGCCCCCGCGTCCAGCGCCCACTGCCCCAGCCCCGCGTCCACGAGCCTCTAAGACGAGCGCCACCAGCACAGGCAGCGGCTCTGCAGCCTGGGAGCGCCGCTCTAACAGCAGGGCCCAGGGAGCCCCCAGGGGTGCACGGAGAGGAAGACCCCCGCACAAGGAAGCACAGCAGACAGGGGGCTAACATCGCCCCACCGGCCCCCAGGAGGGAGGAGGCGGGTCAACGGTGCCCCAGCCCAGAGCACGGGACTCAAGTCCCAGCTCTACCTCTTCCTGGCTGTGCGAGTCACTGAACCTCCCTCTGCCTCAGTTTCCTCATCTGTAACACGGAGCTGACACTAGTAAGCATCTCACAGGGTGTTGCTGGGTTCCATGTGAGGCTGGGAAAGCCTTCTGGGCGCCCTTGATTCCACCAGCGTTGCTAGGGCCTGGCCTCATTATCCTGTAAGTGTTGGCAGCGCAGTAACAAAGGCTCGCCTCCTATCTGTGCCCATCTGCGTCCCCCAGGGAGCCACCTGGGACACCCCCAGCCCACACTGCTCCCTCACAAGGCCTAGCCGGCCCCCTGTCTACCCACCGGCCTCATCACTAGGCTCCAGCCACTCAGCTCTCTGTCCGCTCCTGCAAGGCACATGGCCTCACTGCTCCCTCGGGGCCTCTGCCTGTGCTGTTCCCTCTGCCTGGCATGCTGTTCCCTGGATTTCCAGCAAGCTGGCTCCCGCCTGCTCACCATTCAAGTCGCCACCAAAGGCCCTGGCGATGACCCCCCAGCCGCCCTCAAGCACATCACTGCTTTGTTTTGCTTTCTTTAGGCCTTTATCACGGTCTGTCTGCTTCAGGTCCATTTCCCTCACTAGGAAGCATACAGGGGCCACAGGGCAGGCGCCTGTGCAGCTCGCTCACAAGGGTAAGCAGGAGCCAGGACTCTCACTCCGGCCTGCGTCCTAAGGCCGCTCAAGCCCTGTGAGCACAGCCTCTACTGGCTCAGTTAGAGTCTTGAAGCCAGAACAGGAGGCTGCAGGAGAGAGAGTAAGGAAAGCCTTCTGGGGGCGGAGACCACAGCAAAGCAGGGAAGGGAGGCTCAGACCATTGTACGTGAAGGGCTGAGCCAGGGGCTGTTGCTACCTGAGTCTTATTGCAGGGCACGTGGGTGGGTTCCGCCACGGAGGAAAGGGGGTTCTGGCCCCGGGGTACTGACACCAGAGCTTCATTGGGCTCAGGGGCCAGGGCCTTCTCGGAGGCCGAGGTGGGGCTGGATGGCTCTCCCCCATCGCCTCCTACCCATCCCCGAAACTGTGGCAGCCCCACCCCCTTACGGGAACAGGGCCTGGGAAAGCCACCACCTGGTAGACCAGACACACTCCCCTGTCCCCCTGCCAGTCCGCAGCAAGGAGTTTTATGGCGTTTTAGGGTGCGTACAGATCGCCTGGGAGGTGGTTGAAATGGGGATTCTGACTGTGCAGGGCTGGATGGAACCAGACATCTGCATCTCTAACCAGCTCCGGCGACGCTGCTGCTGCTGGTCCCCGAGCGCTCGCAGCAGCCAGGGCCAGCCTATTGGGAAGCGTGAACCTCCCCCAGAACTCTGCAGCCCGGCCACACAGTGGGGAACGGAATAGGAAGGCGAGGAAGTCAGACCTAGAGGCGGGTGGGCTCAGCCGGGCAAGGAACAGAGAGGGGATGCTGTGACGAGGGCGGCAGAAAGCCATCAGATGGCAGACACCGAGGGTCAGCGAGCAGGCCCCACTCGGGGGTGGAGGCCACGCAAGACACACGCTATGACGGCAAGAACCCGAAAGCACCAGGCAGAACCTGGGCCCGGCTCTGCCCAAGCTGGGGAGCACCCCCAGTCCGCAGTCACCCACACCTGTCGCTGGGATCAGCCACTTGTTTCACTGCTCTGGTTGGTGGAACGTTTAGGTAAGAGTTTTTCCTACTTAGAATTTTCCTGTTTTTCCCCACCCAGCACCTCCCAGTCCCACTTCCCCACCCCTCCCTGCAATCCAGGGTTTGCAGCCTTCCACTCCCTGCTTCCCTCCCTGACAAAAATACAAACATAACTCCACACATAGAAAGCATCTGTCGCAGCTGCTTATTTCTTCGAAATGAGATCAAGCTAAATATATTTTTATGCAATGCAGGCCTCTCACTCAGTGCATCAGAGATGGCCCTCCATGTCATGGGTTGGCAGTGTTTCCAGGGAAGGCCACAGAGTAATACGTTAGGCTTTGCAGACCATGCAGCCTATCATGAAAGCAGCCAGAGGCAACATGGAAATGAATGGGTGTGGCTGTGTGCCAATAAAACTTTATTTTATAAAAACAAGCAGTGGGCCATATCTGGCCCATAGGCCATAGTTTGCCAGCCCCTGCTCCAGGGCATTAGCTGTAGTTCTGATGCTTTGGTGTTTCGTTTGGTTTTTAATTAGTTAGAGCTTTATTATTTAAGCTTTTAAATAATAAAAGTGTCATATGAAGTATACTATACATACTAGTATAACAAGCATCCAATCATAATGACACAGTTTGATACATTTTCACAAAGTGCGTACATCTGCGGGACCAGTTCCCACAGGCAGACCAGCTCCGTAGAGTCACACACACCCATTTTAATTCATGGTTTTCAGCACCTGTGTCACAGGAGCCCACAGAATGGATACACCGTAACTGGGCAACTCCAACTCTTTGCCACTGGGAACTGCACGCCAATAAACACACTTGTTCTGGACTTTATTTCCCTGTGTGCTGGGGTTTTATTCCAACAGGACAGATTTCCCAAGGGTAATATGTACGTATTTTGACAAGTACTGCTGGACCACCTCCTTCCAGGCAGTGGCCCGCGCAGCCCTGCAGGCCTGGCCGCCCCCCTTCACGCGGTTCGGCGGGGACTTTGAGGAGCAACACGCAGCAGGTCCCAGGGCTTGGGGCCTTGGGCGGTGGCCGGGCTTGGGCTTGATCATTCTTATTCGTCTTTAACACTCAGGGAAGAAGAGAAGAAACGTGGAGTACAAAGACCTCAGCTCCCTCCATCAACCCCGTCTCCTTCAGTGTCCAGGACACCGACCGACCACTTCACAGGCCAAAGGCCGTGAAGGAAGGGCAGGCGGGGGTGTGGTCCGGCCCCGGGGGTGTGCAGACCTCTCCTACAACACGCTGAACGCGACGGTCAGCGTGCCCTAGATGCAGCTATGACTTCACTCGCTTCCTCATGACAAAGCCACGGCAGAGAAACAAGTTTGTTTCAGGGAATTTTCTCTCCAATGAGGACACAACGTAGTGTTTTCAATAAACCGATTTCACTGCACTGCAATTTCTTTTTAAAAAAAGAAACCTAACCACCATCAAGCATGAGGTACTCTAAGGAATCCTGGGTACCATGGGCCCTGGTCCCCCGAGCTTGTGAGTGTGGGGGCCGGGGTGCATGCCTGCCACACAGGGCGTGCTGTTGGGATGGTGTCCGTGGCTTGTCCCGGAGCCCCAGTGGCCGCTGTGACGGCAGAAAAGAGGATGAGCTTGATCGGGGCGAGGCCGTACCCATCTCACAAAACGCAGCCACCGCGCATGGATGTGTGCACGTCACTCTATTACGTTTTATCTCAAAAGTAAAAGCAAAACAAGTTCTGAGTTCTAGTTGATGCTGCAGTGTTCAGGGGGCGACCCACTGCCTTTACCTTACTTCAGAAGGTATCAAAGACGAGATGATTGGTGGGGGGAGAGCGAGATGCAGGGACACTGATTAGGCAAGTGCAGCGAATGTGGTGGCAGAAGCCCAGGGCGGACAAGTGGGTGTTCCTGGTGAGATTCTTTCAACGCTGCTGTCTGTTGCACATTTTTTATGCTAAAAGGTGGGGGTGGGGGGTACTAACCAGCAATGTCTAAGGGAGGGGCTGGGTCCTGTGCCCGCTCTGTGACGTGTGGCCTGGAGAAGCCCCTCCTCTCCCTGGCCTCAGGGCCCTGGGAGCCACTTTACTCCCCTCCGCCACGCCCCCCTTGTGGTCCACAAGGTCTGAGCAACTCTTGGAAGAGAGCCTTCCGGGAGGGCCGCTTCCAAGGCAGGACTGCCCCCTGGTGGCCAGCAGCCTAACTTATGAACATGTTCTGACCCATTGACACTCCGCTGAGGAATTTTGAGATATTAACACATGAGGAGTTATCACCATGACAGTCCCCTTTTCTCCCCTCTTCTCTTTCCCTTTAGAGCAGAGAGCCAGCTTGCAGGGGTGGGGGTGGGGGGGGGGAAGCAGGCAACAAGCTGAAAGCCTTCAGCCCCCTTGGCTCTGCCCCAAACGCAGGCTTCCAACAGGAAACCACGCGGAAGATGGGGGATTTGTGGACACAGTGACCTGGAAAAAACTCAAAGGCAGTGAATTTTAACCTGAAAAGGAGGCGACTCCCCATGGCTGAGAGAGAGAGAGAGAGAGAGAGAGGGAGAGAGAGAGGTCTCCAGGGTCCCAGGGAATTGGCAGATTGAATGAGCCCAGATTGTGAGGCTCATCCAGGCAGACCTCCCCGTCCGTGCTGAACCCAAGGGTCCAGAATCCGCTGGGCAAACCCTGGAACCTAAGTTAATACTGTTGCATGAACAGGGGGGGCTGGGAGCTCGGGGTAGAGGTTCCGGAGGAGCCGCCACCCAGGAGGGAGGCAGGGAAGCCGGCTGGGCGCTAACAGCTCCCCTCCCCCGCCGCTGTGGTTCCCACGCTCTGCGACAGGGCAGGTCTGTGGGCCATGGAGCCAGACTGCCTGGGCTCAAACCTGAGACCCACACTCACTGTGTGAGTCCTGGGAAGTTAGCTGGCTCTGTGCCTCCGTTTCCTCAGGTGTCAAGGGGGGAATATGAACACCTATGATAGGAGTGTTAAGATGATTAGCAAGTTGACCTACGTAAAGTACCTGGCATGTAATAAGTACTCAATAAACACAGCTGGCATTATTTTTCCTATTTGCCCTGACACGCTTTGCCCATTCCTGATAACCCCCACGCCTCTCGCAGACTCAGCCCGGCCATGCCTGCTCCGGACAACTTCTGGTGCCCTCTGGGGCTCCCAGGGGACCGCAGTGTGGCCACATTTCGACTTAATGATCTGCACTTGTCTGCCCTCGAGGCTGTGAGCTCCCTGAAGGAAGAGGCTACATCTCACTGCCATTAGGTCCAACCTGGTACCCAGGCCCTTCTGGAATGGATGGAGGAATATAATGGATGGATGGATGGTGGATGGATATGGATGGATGGATGGATGGATGGATGGATATGAATGGATGGATGGATTAATATAATGGATGGATGGATGGATGGATGGATGGATTGATGAATATGAATGGATGGATGGATGGATGGATTAATATGAATGGATGGATGGATGGATGGATATGAATGGATGGATGGATGGATGGATGGATGAATATGAATGGATGGATGGATGGATGGATGGATATGAATGGATGGATGGATGGATGGATGGATTAATATAATGGATGCATGGATGGATGGATGGATGGATGGATGGATGGGTGAATATGAATGGATGGATGGATGGATGAATATGAATGGATGGATGGGTGGATATGAATGGATGGATTGATGAATATAAGTGGATGGATGGATGGATGAATATGAGTGGATGGATGGATGGATGGATGGATGAATATGAATGGTGAATGAATATGAGTGGATGGATGGATATGAATGGATGGATGGATG